GGGGGCGGGGGCAAGAGAGGTGGGGACGGAGGTTTGGAAAAGATTGTACCTCATAGAACTCTTTCTCTTTCTGGAAAGCAGCCTCGAGTTCCCCAACGCGCCGTCGCGCTTCTATGGTCTTTTCTGGCCCAATGGCAGCCGCAGCCGAACCAGCGATTTGATTACCAATCACACCCAGATTGTTCAACACTTCTGTAAAGACCAACTCTGACTTGTCCACAATCTCCTTCCCTTCCTCCTGTAGCCACTCATCAACCGACTTATCCTTGAGCTCCAACTTCAAATGCGGCAGTCGCACTACATGTACAGAAATCGGAGCATAATGGAAACAAGCTACCATTGTTCCCTTCCTGGATCACAAGCCAAGAACACCACCAAAACGGAGATCCTTCCTTCCCCAAATGCCCACCCTGTCCTTTCCACCCACTCCCCCAACGACTTCCACAGTGCCAAAGAGGGGGAATACAGATGTGCTTGACAAAAAACACCATCCACACCCTTGTCCCCTTCCTGGATCACAAGCCAAGAACACCACCAAAGAAGATCTTTCCCCAACTGCCCACCCCATCCTTTCCACCCTCTCCCCTAACAATTTCCATAGTGCCAAAGAGAGGGAAAACAGATGTGCTGAGCTCAACACACAACATCCGCACCCTTCCCTTCCTTGCCCGCCCACCATAATGCACCAAACCAAGAAACGCAGACAGAGGGATACGTAATATAAGCAGGTAAGGAATGAAACACATGCAAAACCGAGACGCATCTTCATATAAACGAAAAACACCATTAAACTGCCACTGAATTTCACGCTCTCCTGAATTCCAGGAGGCAGCACGTTTATTGTGGTGATTTGAAGTTTCAGACATCCTAAAGCCATAAAAGTTTTCACTGGGCTTGGGCCCTGACACAGTTTTCTCCACACCCAGCGGTGGTCTAGGGAAAGAAGCACAACAACAGCAAAGCAGAGAATGGGACAGTGTGAAAAAGGTAATCTGAATGCTGCGGAAGAATGGCATGCATAGAAAAAGATCCACACTAGAACCACAACAAAAAGCATTGATAAAAAAATATTTGCTGCAACCCGAGCCCACCCCTGACATTCTTGAGATGGCACTGCCATCAAGTTCGCAAGGTGTTAGATAATTCATTACAGATCATCAACGTCTGGTGCTGTGCAAGCTTTGTGCATCACGATCCAGTTTCAAGAACTTCTGGACTCTCGAGTCGGAATCATTTTTGGAAAACGATTTTTCATAATTCTTGAGCAAAATGCCCACCTCGCACGAACTGTAGACTCCCTATGCCTATACTTAATCTGACAGTATGTTTTTTTCCTCCTTTGAGCTGCCAAAATGTCAGACCAAGTTGCTGCTAGAGTGACAGCGTTCTGCAGGGTGATGCCTCGTGGAACAAGGAATGTGAGATTGAAGCAGAGATCTCAGCAAGATTCTCAGTCTTGCTCTCAAGATTATGTGGTTGTAGCCATTAGAGTGATAGCATACTGCAGGGTGAGTCCTCATGAAAAAAGAATTGAGATTGAAGCAGCATGGCTACGACCCGGACCACCGGACAGGGATCCGGACCGTCCATGATCCTGGGTCCGTCTCCAGATCTTGGTCCAGATGTGAGGGCCCCATCCCAACGGCCAATTTTTTTTTGGGTGGTCCAGGGCGTTTGTTCACGCCCTGGGCAAAAATAGTGCCTCAATTTCTACCGCCCTCACGAACGATCCGGAAGGCCCGGAAAGTCCACAGGGGGTTTCATTTTGTTGGTTTGCTTTTTCTTTTTCGAACCGTTGGGGGGGAGATTTCCCGGCCGCCATTTTCCGGCGACGAGAGATCTCGGTAAGATTCTCGGTCCTTGTTCGCTCTCAAGATTGTGGTTGTAGCTGTTAGAGTGATAGCGTACTGCAGGGTGAGTCCTCATGAAAAAAAAATTGAGACTGAAGCAGCATGGCCACGGCCCAGACCGTCCATGATCCTGGGTCCCAGTCCGGATCTCGGTCTGGATGTGAGGGGGCCATCCCAACGGCCAATTTTCTTTGGGGCAGTCCAGGGCGTTTGTTCACGCCCTGGGCCGCCCAAAAAAAATATTGCCTTAATTTTTACCGCCCTCAGGAATGATCCGGAAGGCCCGGAAAGTCCACGAGGGGGTTCTTGTATTGGTTTGTTTTTTCTTTTTCGAACCATTGGGGGGGATTTCGCGGCCACCATTTTCTGGCGACTGGCGTGTGGAGCGTGGAGCAGGTATGTCTCTCTCTCTCTCTCTCTCTCTCTCTCTCTCTCTCTCTCTCTCTCTCTCTCACACACACACACACACACACACACACACACACACACATTTCCTCATTGTCGTCGTCCTCCTCCTCCTACACACACACACACTTCCTCATCATCGCCGCCGTCGTGGTCGTCCTCCTCGTCAACCCCGCCATGCTTTTCTTTATCTCTGTCCTCCTGTCATTGTCAACTCCGCCATCCTTTCTAGTTGGCGTCGTTCTCCTCCCTTCCTCCATAGTCGTTTCAACTCCCTGTTTTCCCGTTGTCGTCGTCATCGTCCTCCTCCACGCCGTCGTCCTCCTCCTCCTCCTCAACCCCACCGTGCTTTTCTTTCTCCCTGTCCTCCTTGCCGTTGTCAACTCTGCCATCCTTTCTAGTCGACGCCAGTCTCCTCCTCCTCCATGATCATGTCAACTCCTCCCTGTTTTACCGTCGTTGTCATCATCACCCTCCTCCTCCTCCTCGTGTTTACTCCGCCCTGCTTTCCCGTGGTCATCATCGTCGTCCTCCCCCTCCTCCTCAACTGCACCCTATTTTCCCGTCGTCGCCGTCGTCCTCCTCCTCATCATCAACTCTTACCTCCTTTTCTCTCTCCCTCTCCTCCTCCTCCTCGTCGCCCTCCTCATCATCAAGTCCGCCCTCCTTTGTCGTCCTCCTCCTCCTCTCCTTTTCCTCCTCCTACTCCTCCTCCTCCTCCTTTTTGGCTTAATTATTTCTTTATTTAGTCCATCTTTGTGCAGGGGCCATGCTAATCCTTCCCTTGGGACATTCATTAAAATTGGAACCATACACAGAAGATTAGCATGGCCCCTGGACAAGGATGACACACATAAATCGAGAACCGGTCCCAAAAAAAAAAACAAAAAAAAGGAGGGGAGGAGGAGAGGGATAAAGAAAAGTAGGGTGGAGTTGACAACGACAAGGAGGACAATAAAGGAGGGTGGAGTTGATGACGCGGACTAGGGGGAGGAGGAGGAGAGGGAGAAAGAAAAGATGGGCGGACATGACGAGGAGGAGGGGTCCCTTGGGGCATTCATTAGAATTGGAATGACACGGAGAAGATTAGCATCGCCCCTGAGCAAGGATGGCATATAATCGAGAAATGGTCGAAATAAAAAACAAGGAGAACGACGAGGAGGGGGAGGAGTTGGACAAAGAAAAGGAGGACAGTGAATCTTCCGAGGACAAAACCGAAAAAAAATTGATTTCAAGAATAGGGAGAAATGGACAACAGCAGAGCGAGAGAGAAACGGGACAGGAGAGAGAAATACTCGGATACGATGAAGAGGAGGAGAAGGCGACAAAGGGAGAGATAGTCTGCCAAGAGTTTTTTCGGCAGGGAAAAGAAACCTGTTCGAATTTTCTAATATCTTTCCCAAACACAGTGGTAGCCCCGTGGCCATTCCAATATTCCTTGACGAAGAACAGAACTAAGAACTGGCAGAGCCGGAAAACTCAAAACTTAACGTCGCCTCCGCCCACCGCCCCCCTGCACACATCTGTCAACATCAGGGCCAGTGGTGGTTTCAGGCTACACCTGTTCCTAAGACTGCTAAGCCCCCACACCTCTTGCCATTCATCTTCTAACATTCCATTTCATGAGGTGACAAAGTTCAGTGTCACTTTTTCTGCTATGCAATCCGTAAATGAAATCGGGTTGAAGTTTGAATCCACGGTAGCTTCCTAAAACCCTCCACAGTAGCAGTCGCCGACTATTGCTGGCCCTCAACAGTGTACTCCGCATACCTGAGACCAGACTCCTTGCACATGTTCATCCACTCTTCCGTTCCTGGCGATTCTTTCAACCATGACTCCAATACTGACTGTTTGCCTGACCTATCCTGTCCTTCACCCCTGCTAGTGCTGGTTAGTCAGTTCTCGCTGGTGTTTTCCCTTTTCCATTTACCCTTTGTGTACATTGGGCGCTAGATTCACACTCGAATTGTGGAAGTCAGTTGCTACAACTAATGTTGTAGGGTGGTCCTCATGTACAGTATGCAGGACTGAGAGGTCATGCAGCACACGGTTTGTTGCTTTTCTGGTATTGATATTGATTTCAGCAAAAGGAGGACTTACTCTTGCTCTCACTCTTCGTCCAGCCTCTAGCTTTGGCTCTTTACTCTCCCTTCCATTCGATATTATAAATCTCCCCATTCTCTTAGTTTGTCTCCTACCTGCGACAGGAGGGTAAGGTATTCGCACACAGTCAGGCTTGTCTACTACTCTTGGTTACGATAATTCATCACACACCTCTTTTCCATGCCCGCTGCCATATTCTAGCAAGGATCGCAAGACCTCCACCTTGTAGCCCCCACTATAAGCAATCCTTCCGGATTCCAATCATGTGAAGGCTTCTACTTTTGCTTTGTATCAAGAGAATTATAGATCATGCACAGGTATTCCGGTCAGAAAGCCCGCTGCCATCACAGGTGAAAGCAAAGTGTCCAAAGAACTCTGGAATAGAGAAGCTTCGCATCAAAGCCTTCACGCGATGACAACCGAAGAATGTCTGCAGTTTACACTCCAGCTTATGCACCTTTTACGTACAAGCGCTCAAATAATGTGAATTGCTTTGACATGTGCGAAGAACTGCATCCTTGGAAAAGGGATACCATATCCATATATTTCGCTAGGTTAGTGAACATTAACTATATGGAAGACGATCAGTGTCAAGAGACATTCATTCTCGTGAAGGAAATGAACATGATCAGACAGTGCGCATGCATACATGCACACAAGAGGGGGGGAGCGGATAGAGAGAGAGAGAGAGAGATGCATGACAGGAGGTACTAATCAAATCAGACCGATGGCCACAGGGAAGCACGGCAAGATTGGGCCATTGTTATGAGAGCATTAAATCGACCACACCACACAGCAAATACAAGGACTCTTTGTCGCATGAGCCTTGAGGCTAATAAGTCTGCCTTGAGGGGTCAATAAATGGTTTCAGATAATGGTAACGTCGGAGAAACTTGTTGTCATGCCTTCCAGGAAGGGTGTGTGTGTTTGATCCCCATTATCCATTGCTGAACTCCCAGCAATTTCCCTTTCCCTGGTCATTCATTAATGTT